TTAATTTTCAAAACCGATGGCCTGCAGATAATACGGAACCCACGGAAACAGTGCAGTGAATATCTTATTAGCAGGCCGGACATGTGACAGAAGGCAAAAATAGCGGAACATTCTGGTACAAGAGAAAAGGACATATTCATGATGTCTAACTCATTTCCGGGGAGAAATGCCTAGACACAGCGTGTATAATGTGTCAGCGATAATGAAATAGGCAATGCACATGCAAGCAGAGAGAAGTGATAAACCAGGTTACGTGTAAAGGGTGTGGAGAAAAACTACATAGGGAAGACAGCGACATCCCTCGGTGAAAGAGTGTACGAAAACGTTAAAGGAAAGTAAACGGCACTATGCTGAGGAGAAACAGCGGGCAATTTCAGGAGATTAGCATTGAAATATTGACTAATGCCTCAACGACGGAGAAATAAACAAGATAACTATCAGAAAGTTGGAACTAGCTCAGTCTGGTGCTTAACGTCCAGTCGACAGGTCATGGCAAATTTTCCGCGTTTGTTGCGATGATGAAAGTTGGGCGTTACGCGTATCTGCGGGGTCCGCGTTTCTACGCAATCGAAGAATATTATTCAAAATAATGAATGTTTATGAGTGCAGTGGTATAAGACTTCATGGGGAGACAGATGAAATGTTCGATTCCACAAGGCCAAGCCGAGTGAAATCGAACATTTCCTTTGTCACCAAATGAAATCATTCTCACCCTTGCACGTAGGCCTATGTGAAACATTCATAATTCGCTTTATACAATATACATGCACCTGCATAAAACCTCTTCTGTTTGGAGAACGAAATTTATGTAGGTCCTGGTCGCCTATTGACGCCTTTCATTTTGTGAAACAGATTTGTACTATGCAATGTTAGACTGCTTCCCGTCCCCATACATTATTTGCCTCTTCCTAGGAAATGGGGGGCGGAAACAGTCGAGAAAAATAAAGTTCTATTCAACAGGTACCACTGAGTAGCAAAAAAGGTTATTCAATGACGTGAATTATGCAGGTTTTGTATGAAACGCGCTGTCTGTATATAGCCTCGGCTCCATGGGTTGCGTGCGCGGTAGATCGGCCAAGCATGTTGGGAACCAACACGGCAAGATTGTACCTTTGGGAACGAGGTTGGTTCGTTAGCGACTTTGTCGTACACGCGCACACACCACTGGTGACAAGCTCCCATTGGATGGACACTCAGGTTCAGTTGAGTTGAGGTTGAAGTTCCAGTTCCGTGTAACTCTAGGATATGCAATGGGCGTGGTGTACTAGTATAAAACTGAAGTGACGTCATACTTACGAACCGGATACTAACAGTCGTACCTGATAAGGAGCGGAAGACGCCCGAAAATTTGTAATTATTATAAATTAACAGGCAGATGGCTTTCCATAAAATCAGGATAGGCCTATGTAGGATTCAAACAAAAAATTGGTCGCGCGTGCTAAGCAAGCCTAAAGGCGCCTTTCCATGTGCGTGTCAACACTTGCGCCAAGCGTTGCGTATCCGTCAAAATCGCTCCTGGGGCGATTTTGACGGCCAAACGCAACGCATACGTGTGTCACGTTAATGGAGTCGATTTTTGTGCCCGTGAAAGTGAAACACATGAACGCATTGTGTACGCAACACAACCCCAAAAATGTGCATAATTATGATTTTTGAAAATATTGTCTGAAACCTGGCTTAAACAAGAGAATAGTCTGGTGACTAAGTTGCTTTGGGCTTATCGCGATAAGATATCCGCTTTACTAGAAATTAGAAGCGGGATTGTAATTTAATGTTTGCTCCGTAACTCTTAAGTTAAAATAATGATAACTAAAAAATAATGAAGGAGAAGATGCGACTTATTCTGAGACATTTTTGTGATGCTAGATTCATTCAATGAGAGTGATAGCTCTGATATAGCATTTGTCTTTTGATACACGTGTGTGTTGATTTGAGATATTTAGTTGCATTGTGTAATATTTATTTTTTTTGTAGACGGCACTTTAGCCGGAGCTAATGTAGCGTATGACACAAGACAGGTCCATACTTCCTACATAGTCTGGTGCCGAGCGCACCACACAGCGGTCCACGCCGACTGATAGAGACGCATTGACCGTGAAGTACCCCAGATGTAGCCTCTACTAGTCTGGAGCAATAACCGTTAATTGTGGGGACTAGCAAGCTAGAGAGTGCAGGGGGCTAACGCCACAGAGCGCAAAGACTAGTCTGGTGCATACAAACAAACCGTGGTGGACCCAATATAGTTTAAGTTTACGTATTCCGGATTATTTTATTGTTTAATTATTTATTGTTTAGAAAGTTAGTGATGCGGACACTTGAAGTAAGTTTAAAGCCATGGACTCTTAGTTACAGGGTTGATTAAGTTCCACAAAATTTGAAACAAATTCTAAAAAAAGTTATCCAAAAAAAAAAAAAACCAAATGACCAGACTGGACAGAAAATACGCCCACGGTCTTTCCCATTGTAACAGCACTTCTCCACTTTATCCAAACAAAGTGCCGTGTGTATTAAGACCCGATGAAAACATCGGTAGTATTTTCAGGTTATTGCAAATTAAATATTTTGCACGAAAACCATTTTGTCCGTGTTAGTGCATCTATACGTGCGTTGAAGGGTACATGTACATGAACGTGCAGATGTGCACATATATATCATGGCCGACCATCAACCGACAGAGAGCGAAATTGATCGAACTAACAATGGACAATTCGCAGTGGCTTAAGTATTAACATGGTATCCTTTCTCAAACACGTTTTCAATTACCAAGAAATGCAGCATATGTGGAAAAACTGGAGAACGATTTAAAATTTTGATTATAAAATACCCTTTTTACGTTCAGAAAAGTAACGTACACAGACATCTTTCACCCCATTTTCTCCGAAAGGTCACTTATTGCCACCGACATCACGAACTAACACTCAGTTGCAAGTGAATGTCAGTTCGTGAAAACATTTTCGTTTTCACGAACTAGCACACAAGCTTGTCAAGGTAATTCTGTATAGGGAAAAAATATTTGAAAGGTTTAACGATCATTTGATCCTTCCACGCTTGGTGCCCCACACCAGAATTTAAATTAAACTTCATTTTAACTACTAAAACAAAGATACTGATGTCAATTTGAGAAAACGAAAATGAACGGACTGCGCACTGGAAGTGCTGGAGTGCACTGGGTGCTCCTTCGTGAAAACGAAAATCACTCAGTTTCCAAAAATGCTCACAAATCTGAAGTCTGATTTCATTTCTCTTGGTATAAATTCAACAAACTTGTACACAATACGGACGATCTCCGTTGACAGATTTCTGTATAGTCGTTTGGTGGCTGGCGTCGCTATTTGAACAAGCGAAAGTGACGCCTTTGCCGAATTTTAGTGCATGCACACAAACTAAGTGAAAGGAGTGAACACGACCTCTATAACTTGTACACTGTAAAACCCAAGAACGTTTGACACGTTTATAAACTAAACACATTAAACATTTGAACACGTGGTGTGTTTACACGTGAACGTGTTTAATGTATATATCATCGCAACATTAAACGCCTGATTATAGCGGCTTAAAACGCGATTTGTTCTTTTTCCCGCCAACACTCTTTAGTGCCGATGAAATTCAAATCTCATGTTGTAATTTAAGCTAATATAACGTATAGTACATGGACGCAGAGTTTAAGAAACAACAAGGCGCATGCGCTTTAATGGTACACACCAGAGACGCAGTCGAGTACCAAAATTCGAGCACCGAGTTTTCCGAGTACACACCGTGCCGAATGCAGGCGGAGTTACATTTTAGTCGAGTTCTGGACCAAAACTCCGGGTTCGAGTTTTTCACAGTCCGAGTACGGGCCGAGTACGAGTACAAACATAATCGAGTACACCCGCGTACATTGTAAAACTAAAAAATTACGGAAATTTGCATTGTTAGTTAAAAGAATGTACACCGACAACACTGCAAGCACGGCCAAGCGCCAACACCCATTCACGAATACTCGATTTAGCGTCGACAAAAATACTGCGTGACTTGTAAAGTGTAGCTTACACTCTGTGAAATTTTGGGTCAAAGTTTAGTATCAAAAAAATCCCGATTTCTTTTCGAGTATTGCGCAACTGGGATCGAGATAATCAATTACAATTTGTCGAGTTTAAGGACGAGTTCGAGGACAAATTACAAGTGTGTACCGAGTACCTGTTTTTTTTTTTCGATTACTCACAATTGAGAACCTTTCAAGTTTTATTGGTACTCAAGTTCAACGGTTGTGCTTGTACTCGTGTTCGGGTACGAGTATGAGTAGGCTACTTCAACACTGGTACACACACGCGCATGCTCACTTCGATCTCTTTCCACGTCCCCCGTACGTCTGCTGGCTGTTATAGTTGCAAATGTAGAGAAGTAGGACAATTCAGAGTTGCATTAATTTTATCCGTTTCTTACACAGGTTCGTGCATATAACGTGCACATGATAGATATTTTCAGAATCTTGGATGGGTGATAATTTTCTGAACAAAAATAAGGTCTGTCAACGATATTTCAATCATTGTTGATCCCGTGTTAAAGTTATAGCACTTGGCTTGCCACTCTGCACGTCACTGCGAATGACTTGGACACGTGTATGTCATCGTTACCCGATAATGTGCAGTTAATAAGCACTGCACCCTTTATATAAATGTGTCCAAGTGTGTAAAAAGTGTTACAGCCTGTACACATGTTTACGCGTAGAAAGTAATAAACACACAAACGGGTTTACAATTAAATAGTGTTCAAAAACCTTACATTACGATAAACACACACACATATTTATATTTAATCATAAACATACGTTATGTTTATTCAATAAAACGGTGTGTTCAGCATATAAACATGTCGTATGTATTTAATTATAAACGTGTCAAAATGTTTAAAAAGAGATACAGATTTGCGTTTTATATGCGTTTAGAAGTTAAACGCTTAGAATTTACAGTGTACGCAATCCAAGACATAGGAAAGACAATGATATTATGTAATCTTACATGTTCCTGCGCCTTCAAGAACAAACTCACTCCATCCGAGAGCGGGAGGAAGCGCAGCAACTAGAGAATACGCCCATGTAAAACCAACACAGACGAGGGCGCCACCGGTCGTCAGTCTCCTTGCCACGAATGGTTTAACAACGAAGAAAAACCGCTGTAGGGAGACCGCTGCAATTCCAACGATTTGTGCACATCCTGTTTGGGGTGAAATACAAAATTATACAAACGGAGGTTATCACTAAAATAAATCCCATGATATCAACATTTACTAAGAATTTGTTTCAACGTTTCTAAACTATCATATTCCTTTCGTATACGTGATGAACAAGGAGGAATTTTTTCAACTTTTTTCTCTGCCACAATTAAGTCTTAGCCGACATAACAATGAAAAATTTGAGTGTAAGTCGTCCAACAGTTTCTGAAGGGGTTGTTTTCTCGATGTTCAAACTATGCTTTGACATTCATTTTGCCGAGATATAAGGGTTACAGGCAGGGGGTTACGGTAAATCATCAACATGCCGGATATCATTACCATCGGATAGAACGCCATTGTCGCGGAAATATTAATCTTCTCTCTTTTTATTGTCTGTGTGCGTGGCCAAGTTTATTGGTAATTGGTAGACTGAACCAGAATGTAAATAAACGCGGATCTGTGTCATCAAAAATACTAATTCTAAATCGTCATCTCTAGGAACCTCATCTTCAGGCCCTAGGGTTATAATTTAATTAGACTGTATTTGCCTTTTTGAATGTAAACAGGCGGCAGATTAAGAGAAAGGGTCCACTGCCCCTGTGGTATTATAATTAACTCGTCTTCGTCCTTGACACGTCTACTGAATTCACCTCTTTTGGTAAAATGAAGGCCACAGACTTTTCAGCAAGATGGAAGTGGGTTTAATAACACTGTATTGCAAGGGGAAAATGATTAATTTCAAAGGGAATTCGATGTCAAATTCAACCTCAGCCCTTGAACAAAGAAGTTAAATGTATGAATACAGGGGGAACGCATGCTAGAGTTCATAAATATCAAATACATATATGTGCGTACATTTGAGTTTTATCGAGATTTCTGGTATTCCCGCCTAGAAGTGAGCCATCTGCTCAAAACGGACGAAGAGACAAAGCAGAACGTCTTCCAGGGGTCATTTATAACGAGCCACTCGCTACCCTTAATGAGACAAAGAGACGAATAACGGGATGAAGGGCGATGCATAAGTTTCAGATCATGTAAGGTGCCACAACGACATGACGCAACGGGCCAGATGGCATAGTGAAGGTAGAGTACACAATTTGCATGTACTTGCACTTTCTTCTTCGAAATTGGAAGAATTGGGGGCTATTTTCACTTTGTGTCAATTCCATAGATTTGCTTTATTTTTAGTTCAATGCTTTGAGAGAAATAAAGCAAAATGCCATTTTGTCGAATAAACAACAATTTTATCGTTCAGTTAAGTGACCGCAGTCACACAGTCACAATAAGACCGCGCGTTCACAATAATTTATGCACGATTGTACAACCACACACACTCGTGATTCATCAGATGCAAGTACGTCGGTCAAAAACCGTCCACACGCTGTCAGTGCACATCATAAACACTTTATAAATCAACAAAGGTGGAAACTACTCTTGCATTTTGGGCATGATAGTTATTTTGATCGGAAAAAAACAAGAGGTTCGATGTGTCGAAATTGCAGATTTTGTACGAGAAAAAAAAACACGGAGCTCGAAAAGGGACAGCCGAGTGCACAGTCCGGCTCGGTTTAGATCATACCATTAGCTTAAGGGGTGGCAGTGAAACGGTCCTGTCGGGTAAATTCCTTTTCATAATTAAACTTGAATTTTAACCTCACCCAAATTCTCTATATCCAGCAAGAAATGCGACCGAAATACTTACCCCCCCCCAACTTGTCCAATCCCTATACACATTCTAGACTATTGTTACCTCCCCCCCCCGTCTGAAAAGAATTCCTCAGATACCAGTGAGACAATGACCAACACAAAGCAGGGGGGCTCGGTTCGTCTCATATCTTGCTTCATATGAAATTCTCCCTTAGCTTAAGAAATACATCTCTTTTTACCAAAGAGGCATTCGCAGCTTTTATTTCAGCCGGTTAATAAAGAATCCAACAGCTAAATGCATCACACATTTTTTGGTTACGCCCATTTATGGTTGTGGTATTAAATCGAATTGAGGGAAAAAAGTAAATTTCTCTTTTCTCGGAAATGTCCGCGTCCGGGCGGAAAGATTTAACAGATTGTCTGTTACTATTAGTAACTTACTTTACAGTAAGATATTTAAAGATAATTCGACAGTCCAGTTTTTAAGATTTTATAAATCGAATAAACTGCCTTCAATATGATAGCGTTGGCACAACGCTAAAATGCACATTTCAACTCAAGTGAACTTTTCTGCGAATAGTTTGCGACGTCAAGTTCATTTCGCTTTCGCCTGAAGCATGAACCAACCTTCACGGGCGACACAGTGTGTTCTCATATAATTTTATGGACCTGGATTACTGGGTACTTCCCTTAGACCATATTATTTAGTTGATTTACTTGAACATTGCAACAACATGCACATTGTAAATCTCCGCGTCGTGACATTATTATAGCCATCACTATTGTGTCAACTCGCGTATTTAACTTTCTCACATGCACAATCGTGACCAAAAAAGTTAATCAAACAAGCATACATTGACATCAATCACCGTCGTTTAAGTAAAAGACCGGTATGGGCTACCCTCGAAGTTGAACTGGGCGCCCAAACCTCTAGGGTAGGAATATTTAGGACAGTTTTTAACACTAGGGCAAAATTGGGAAAAATTAAACAGTTTGTTAAAACTTACCCGAAAAGGTACAAATAAATCCATACCAGGAGCAGCCGGCGGAACCAAACAGCCAATGGCCAGCCACACTAGACGCAAGGGACAGCGGAGTTCCTAGCACAGCCACAATTATATCGGCCACGCAAATGTTCAGCAAGAAGATGTTGACCACGTTGTGCAACGACTGGTAGCGTGCGTAGAGGAAAATCACTACAGCGTTGCCTGCCACGCTGAGTAGGCAGACCACCGCCAGGTATACTGCGAGGCAGGTATAACCCGATCGGCTGAGGTGTGGCCCAAGCTGTGAACCGTTACCTGCAATCGGAAGCAGGGAGGCTGTAGGGAACGTGACAGCCATGGGCTGAGAAGTTTGAATTTGGCTACACACACGGTGTCACGGAATAGAAAACTACACGAAGAAATCGAGATTTCTACCAGCAAGTGTCACTGTGACGCCCTTTTAAAATTGGTATCACGTGCGCAGCCATGTGCATGTTCGCAAAACAACTGTTTAGTAATGTTTGGATGACTGCATGCTTTCTCGCATTAAAGAAGTTCTATTTCCAGACATGTCAACTTTTACTTCAGAGCTCATTATAACTGCGTCACGCAATGGAGAGAACGCAATTTGTTGTTCAATGGTTTTACTGTGATGCTCTAAGCGGTGTGTCGCGACTGCCTCTTGCACATAGACTGGTACCTGATCCCAGAAAAATTAAACAGCCTGAAGTTGACCCCTGGTGGCGCGCTTATGAAAGCTTTGAACAGGAAAACAACTTGCAAATATTTTATAATTACCAATGATTTTGTTAGTTCATGCGCTACTCATGAAAATCAAATCCGAAAAAGACCCCTGGCAATTACTTCCTAGCTTGTTAATTTTTGAAACTGAAAGATGCCGACACTGAAAGAGAAATATCGTGCTAAATACTGACTTCTAACTTCCGAAAATCTAAAAAGATAAAAAAGGAGGCCCCTTGGAACTAAGTATACTTGTACGCACTTGAAAATTTAAAGAGTAATTTTGTGGTGATCTTTGGTGAAAACTTAAATTGTAACAGGAAACCAAGACAAGTTGTACAGTTTACTGGAATGAAAAAATATATTTTGCAATCTATTACCTTTGTCGACAAAATGTGCACTAAGCCAACCCAACTAAATCTCGAACCAATCGGCTGAAGGCAGGTACGACCTCTGAATGCTGGTCATTCTTCTTGTCAGAGCTTTGAATGTTTCATCAGTCTGAGGGTATTTGAACTCCAGCATAAGTAAATTCATGGTGAAATCAGCGAACGGTGATTCTGTCAAATTCTCTGTTTGTTGATAACATTCCTGTGTCACGAATAGCGAAAAAGGGTCTTCGAATTTCATGAAATGAAGAGAATAAGTCCCACACTGGTGATAAGGCATAATTTTAGTCATTTCGGGAATATCAACAATAGGCCACAATTTTAATATGGTGTTCTCGATTCCTTATACAGTTGAAATTATCGGAACCGACCATGTTCTTGTTCAAAATCGTGTTTGGTTAAAAGAAGGCAGTTGCATTTATCTCCCTATGAAGTTATTTCAGCTGACATTCTTTCATATTTTAGGAAAAAGACACGAATCTTTTATCAAATTATGTTGTCAAGTGATACATTTCTCAAAATTCCAGTGAATCTGATGAGAGTGATTTCGCATGTGTTGTTTACCCGGAAGCACTGAAAGACCGTACATTAAAGCTTAAAACAATGTCTTGGATTGCACCCTTCCGCTTTACACACGAAATCATATCTGGAAAGATCAGTTAAAAGGAGTGTCTCGTTGTCCACACAACCACAATAAATTTTTGGGGGGGTTGTGTGATAGTCGAGGAAAGGGATTTCGAATGTCGACAAATTTGAGCGGTCGGATCACCAGAGATTTTTTTCATGATTAGGTGTTGTATTCAAAAAAATTTAAGAATGTGACACACAGGAAATTATCCTCAGTAGTTCTCAATACGGGAGATTCACAATGGCGCGCCTCCAAGAGTTTGCAACGCGTTGGCCAATCACAATACGGGATATCGCGCATTGGGTCGACAGTTTTTGCGCATTGTGATTAGCCAATGCGTTGCAAACTCTTGGAGGCGCACTATTGTGAAACGCCTGTATTGGAGTCATTAAGATTTATTTGTATATTATCCATGTTAAAAAGTAGGGGAAAGCCCAATTCAAAATATGAAGCTTATTTAACCAAACTCATTGTGGGCAAAATTGGTTTTCAATGTTTCATCGGGGTTAGACCTTTCAAGTGTAAAGGCTGGTCCATATTTCGCTTGAACGCGAATTTGTGAGGCAGATAAAATGTTCGCGTTGCGAATTCCTAGAAGTTGAAAAAAAATTAACTCGAGCGAAATTTCGCAGCAAATTTTTTTTTATGACGTCAATTTTGCATCGCTTTCGCCTGCAGTACGAACCGGCATTAAAAATTAGCACTTCAATTCGTTTTAAACATTACAAAATGTAATGAACTCCCCTATGTGAAGATGTATAAAAAAAATCTTCACTGAAAAAAAATACCTTTGGGGGACTCTATAATACCTAAATGGTGAAACGTGAACCTAAACCATATGGTTAACACCGGAACTGCACTCCGCACATGATAGCAGTTCGTTTCCGAAATCCAGACAGCCACTACATTTATACCGACATAATCAGATTGCCGTATCAAACGATGAGAACGTTTCGACATGCCGTTGACAAATGAGGGGAGGGGGGGCTGAGATGTTTCGTAACCAAAGCTTTCATCCAAACTCTAACAATCGAGCAATTAGGGAGGTACGCTACACATGAAAGGCGAGAGTTCCAGACGACGTGCACGTGCACCGCGTTGATGGTACGCGTGATGTTCCCAATTCGACTGGTGTGGTTTCCCAAAGCACGCGTGTAGTAATAAACCTCTGCTTGTATAGTCAGATGCCTTCAACTTGACAATCTCCGCGTTTTTAAAAAACGTTTGAATTAACGTAAAGTTTTTACAAGCGTGAATCCAGAATATTGGGGCTATACACCAAAATGCCCCATGCAGATGCTGCAAACTGTTCCAAGAATACAGGTCAACAGTTTCTACTTACCGTTTCGGATAGGTTGTAACAAAACAAACCTAACCACCGCTGGCCAAAAAAATAAACAAAAACCTTTGATTTTCTTGAGACGTCGGGGTCCCCGTCCAAAGTCCAAGTCAGTGGAAATCGTGAAATCGACGCGCTTGCTTTTGTAATTCCTACGGGTTGAAATGGTACTTCGGTGAAAAGTAATTACTTGTCAACCACAAAAAGCTCTAAATTGTGCATTATTTTCAAGTTTTACTTTCTTGCCTCATAATAATAATAACAATAATTGAATTTTTCATGTCACCATTTCCATGAAAATAATCAAATTTAACAAGTGTTTATCTCTATAATTCAGGGAGTCCTTTATCGGGATTGCAATCGGAATTACTAAAGTAATCCCGATTGCAAATAAAATTGGGTCTTGTCCTCATTGTTAAGTAAACGTTCGTTTGATCTACAACTGATCCCAAGAAACATAAGTGATCATCGTGGCCAGAAACAACAGAACTGGGTTCAACAACTTGTTACTTTTTTTTCAAAAACCGGAAGAAGGATTTGACCAATCAGCCTAAAGGATTTGACCAATTTTTTTTATATGCCATATTTTACATAACAGTTTATCCACTAATTATACCATTCTGTTGAAAGTTTAGGGCATTGCAAGCAAACTTCAGCGGCATTACACATTATAGTGTGGTATACAGAGCAACAGTCGACGCATAGGTAGGGTCCAAATTGCTTGGCTGCTTGAAAGGACACAGGGGTCTATGGTAGTGGCCAGAGCCGGTTCCCGTAGACACGTGTATAATTAAAGTCACAGCAAAGTGATTGGCATACAGCCCTAATGTCATTGTAACTGGAGACCTTTGGGTCGTTTGGTGGCGGCAAACATTACTGGTCCCATGTAGCTACAGACGTATAAACGCATAGACCACCAGTCTCGCCCGCGCATAACCGTGATTTCAAAAAACGTAGGCAAGCTGTGGGCGAAACCATGGATGGCAGCGCGTTCAGTGATAATTGCGAGTGACACTTAGATTATATTATATGTATTTGTTCACGTGCTCTAAAAATACGTTTCTTTTTTTAATCTCTGGTACTGCTATATCTTCTTTTCAAATGTTGCAACTCCAATTTTTCGAATCTGTAGGGGCAAGATTAAGTAGACAGAGGATTTTTTTTTCACAATCGAAATGTGGCTTCATTGAATTTTATGACTGGAACTCTTCAACTGTGCGTAAATTTCAAATACCGCGGGATGAATTTGCACACGGTTTTGGATTGAGTCGGGTGCCGTCTCGGCTACGGTACCCCGCCATTGTTTTGAATAGGAACTACCCGTCTATGGGTTTGTATGTCTGTGCATGTGACCAATCCCCGGCCATTGATCTCCATTGTAATAGGATCAATGGATACGGCATTGTTCGTGTCATTTTGAACACTGACGCACACTAACTCAAATCGGACACAAACAAAACAAAACACAGAAATTACTGCCACCACGCGTCTAAGAAGTCTCCATATCTGTAATCATAATTAGCAACATTTAATGACTTAAAGCAGTGTGATGTAGCCATTCAATTTTGCCTGGTTTTGGTGAGGTCAGCGATTCTCAAATAAAAAAGGGTCATTTTTTGTCCATTAAAAAACAAATTGTGTTTTATCATTTATGCAGATACAATGTCTTGAAATATCGTCTTGAACTGCCGTTTTGATATCACTTGCTTCATTTCTTGCACAGATGTTGTTTTCTGCTATTTTTTATTTCCACAGGATTGAAAAAACACCATATTTTTGGCCACTTATGTTAGATTTCACCTCAAACTTCACAATAGTTACGTTACTTTAAACGTGCATTTTCATTTAGTATCTAGAAGTATATGCAGTCTTGGTTATTAAGATAACTTGTCCAGGGCAATTATCATCTAATCTCGTGATCCGGTCTTAAAACGTAGGTTTTGGACCTTGTGACTAAGAGTGTCAACGCAATAACATTATTACGAAATTATACATTTCCAGCCTTTTTGTTCGACAATATGTTTGTGAACGTTGAACCAATAAAACAGAAAAAAGACTAAGTGTTTCACTGGAGTCTACATTTCATCCGACCAGAAAAGTGTTATCAGGCTGCAATCGTTTAAGACAGGCCATGCACGTGGCGACAAATAGGAATGGCTCCACTGCCTTCAGTTCTTAAAACTTGGCATTTTATAGCTGCTTGAGATCCTAATGACTGCTCCTGCTTTCTATTTACGGAAGGTCAGCCGTAGTTTCACCGGCCACTATATTGGTAAGAATACGACGGTAACGTGGGAAGAGCGGAGCCCATAACCCATGCACGAGAGGAAACGAGCAATGCGAAGAAAATGTCCTCGGGGCCATTGTCGCAGCTGTTGGTACCCTTTCAATTATCTGATAATGTCGAAGTTTTTTTTTTTATGAGCATGGAAATTTAATGAGCTTCAGAATAAAAGCAAAGCTCTGGGATCATCCCCAAAGGGGACACTAACACTTACGGTGAATGCAAATCACTCAAAAGAGCATTCTGTAAATTCCAGCGACATTTCCAGGCTCATTCATGGGATATAACTGTATCAAAAATACCTCTGCCGTCACCGTTTGAAGAAATTAAATGCAAAAGTTTATCACAAAAATAAACAACACCTGTGACACAGGCATTATTACATTATTTTATAACAGGTTGCCTAACTATCAATACTAACAGCTCATGAAATAGCACTAGGAAATGTGCTTTGATACATGTCAAATATCGACCGAAATTACTGAAACAATAATTAAAAAATATATATTAAAAAACAAAACTCGAAGCCGCTGCTTGATGTCAGCGCATTCAAAAGTAGGCTGCAGCTGCTCCATAATCCTTTGTTAACTCGATGTTTCCTTGGCAACGAAAGGTCTCTCACTGCGAAGAGAACAGAGAAGTGAATTACAGTAGATTTGTATCACACGGTGTCCGTTAGCAAACTCCTCAAACGCCAACGAGAATCTGAAGGGAATGGCTCTAGGGCCATTTATTATTTGATCTCCAGTAAAGCAGGGCCGTTTCGGGGACAAGTCGAAGTTTCATCCTGTCGGATATGTAAGAATGTTGGTGTTTCCCGTTTGTTCTGCGTTCTTCGTTTATCAATTCTCTCTTGGGCATCTGCAAGAATAACAGCTGGGGGGAAATATCTTCTTTGCAATGGTTACGTAATCAGAGAAAACATGGAGTTAAGTATGGGACAAAAGGAGGACCTCTTTGTTGCTTTGTCCTTGAGGTAATGTGCACGAGGTTTACAGATAACTTAATATTTCCCGCATGAAACAAGCACAAGCTATGAATGTGACGGTGAAATAATGTCGTTGGAAAGGCTTACGTTACACGCAGCCATAACGAGGTCAATCATTAAGCCCCAGACAAGGGACCTATAGGGTACGGAAGTGAATACGTCACTGTGTAAAAGGCATGAGCGCGAGAACCAGCGCGTGAACCAGCACGCGCGCGTACTCCATTCGTTTGCACTGTACTTTCTGGTTCACAGTGACGTCACACTTCCGTACTCTGTAGACCACCTTGCCCCCTTTGATTTCATTTAAACGTCCTTTGTATTGTTTAAGGCAAAAATAATAATAGGCATTCGAAAAAATGCGAGAAAAGTATCCGATCGGTACTAATAAAAGCACAGCAAGAAAGCCCTGCACGGCATTACTCATATACAGGTACAATGTTAAATCAACAGCTTCCCGTTCGAGGTATATTCCAGACTGGTATGACTGTATCTTTGGCAAGACCAGTGACTTCAGGCGCGGGTCCGAGAGGCGGGGGTGAAGGGGTAAATCACCCTTCTCTGACACCCCAAAAAACTTAATAATTGAAATATAGTTATAATAATGACAAAGATGACGTCCTACAACGTGTAATAAAAATAATGATTTAACATTTATAATGTTCCAATTTCATACAAATGATCAAAGGCGCATTACAGGAACAACTTAAGGAGAGAGATAAAAATCAAAATAAAAGAGATTAGATTCAATAAATCAATCTGAAATAAAAGTAAGTGCATGCGTTCGTCTTTCCACAACAATCAGACATAAAAAAATCTGACGGGCCTGACCCCCCCCGAAAAAATTCCTGGATACGCCCCTGAACTTGACAAAGCATGATATTGATGTCATTAACCCTAACCCTAGAGTGTATATAAAATCATATTGAAATCGGAGGATTTTGGACTGTTAGGGTTAATAAAGGAAATCCCCATGTGATGTCATTGTCTTATCTTTCGTATGTATGAAATAAAGTGTGCAAATTAATGCTCTTATGGAACAATATTGAAAAATGCTGTTAAAGAACCTGCTCACGCGAATTTGGACTTTCAACTTCAGTGTATCCCGGATGTTAAGGTCAATTAACAAACAAAATCCACCTCTATCATGCTACTTCATTTGTGTACATGCATATCAACTATGAGTGTTCACATCAATGATGAACTTCACAAGAGTTCGGAAGTAGGCTACGTGTGCGGGTGCTACGGGTAGCACCAGGACCGGGGAGGAAGGACACCGAAGGAGTTACAACTCTGGCACTTCAAAGTGCCCGATGATTGTCGCCGCCGAGTCAGACGAATAATAGAAAACATTCCAAAAATCCCAATTGCCGTCTACAACTTAGTTGGACAAGTGGGACCAGTAATACCCTGGCGATACTTGTGGTGTTTTGCTGGTTATTAACAGTAACTTATTGCTGTGAGCAGGAAATAGAGAAAGAAAAATACCTAATGTTGGACCTACTTTTGCCATCGTGAATAACCTCTTTATTTTGATCCACTGTTCCGTTATCCATGCAAATATTTTTTATTTTATTTATGTCCCTCCAAAACATCTGCTTTCAAAGACTTGGTACGAATTTGGCTAGGACTGACCAACAGCATGCTGACCTCCACTACAAAGCTAAGTTCAGAACGAACAAAATGCGCGATTTCATTTCAACGAGTGATCATGAGATCTCATAAACTACACTTTCGTATAAATCCCGCCATAAAATGATTCAAATAACATATAACATCTTATAAATAACCGAACAACTAGCTATTCATTCCCCAAACAACTCCGCACAAAGCGTTCTAGAAGGGCAATAACTACACATGAACATTTACGGTACACGGACTAACACAGGTGGATACGGATTACGAACCAGGATCACAAGTGGGCCTCATGGAGTTGTGAAAAAGATGGCGCGCTGTGCTCTGGCTGTTATACCAGTCACACCCCGGGCAGTTTAAACTCCCATGTCCTTCCTCCATGCTACATGTACGACAAAAAACGGTCTTGCACAATACTCAAGGAGACTTTCATTCTGTCGTTTTACAATGAGGTAACAGCTTCTGCACTAAACGAACCTGTTACCGTACATTGGTTGATTCTGAATGTTGTCGAGGAGAGGCCAGGACACGATGTTTCTGCGACTGGTTAATTAAACGTGCAAACTACGGGTGTCTGATCGATTTGTCAGAAGTCGCCTGGACAGTTGGCGCTCCAGAACCATGACGTAAACCATGAGAAGAATCATCTGTCCTTCATCAAGATGTCAACCTGAATGGTGTCAAATGGAGGGCCAAATATGACAGTTTCATGACTAAGCACGGGAGTCCTTCCGAAAGATCTAGTCACACATTATTTACATTGCAATAGTTTATCGAACTGTAAAAAAAATCCCTGGAAAGCAGCTGGAGGCGTTCATGACTTGAATGTTCCCATTTTTATGACATGTTTGATGATCGGCTTGTGTTACAGCTTTCCTTCTTTTATTCGCAGAATGCCAGATGCGTGACTATCCGATTTTGTCCACAGAAGGTCTTCGCGAAATCCAAGTTACATTTTGACGCAGGTGGCACGTTTCAAGGGACAGACAAAGAGCGCGGCTTCGCCAGTACTTTGAGAATAATAATCTGTCCATTCTTTTTGTCACGTTCATGCACGAATTGTTCTTTTTCCAGGTCAAACGCATGATTTTGTGCAGCGCTGTCTGTTTTGGAGGGAAGGAGGTCTAAAAAAAAACGTGGACGGAACCACAAAATCCATATTAAATCTAGCCTTACCCCCAGGGTGTATGTAAAATCATATTGACATCGGAGGATTTGGGACCGTTAGGGTTCTAAGCTTAGCTGTTACATTACAGGCATACGGGGGCGGGTACACAAATAAATTTTCCGGGGGGGGCAACAAATTGCAAGCAAAGATTTGGAAAAAACATGCAGAACTTTGTGGCCTTCGTAAAGTGTGAAGCTAAATTTAGGGGGCTTTTACATGCTCTAGGGAATAGGGGATCGAAATGATTCAACAAATCACTTTTTTACCATTTTCTTAAAAGACACACATTAATCTTAGGAGAAGGCCACAGCCTGACCTCTTCTGTACCCCCTCTGGATCCACAGTATGTTGTGGCCCTTGGCAAGCCTCTTCACTCCTGCTTGCCTCTCTCCACCCAGGAGTAGAAATGGGTACCAGCATTAGCTGGGGAAGATACCTGCGATGGACTGGCATCCCATCCAGGGGGAATAGAAAAATTCGCCACAATGCTGCTTGCACGTGGTACAACGTACTGCCGCAAAAGTTATTCCGTCCCCTGATACATGAAGATGCCGTATTTGATTAGTGTAGTGTATAAGGTCACACTGAAATTGCCACATTAAACAGCTGTTTCCAAGGTGTTAAATCTACACACAGAATGTCAGTAACCGAACATAATTCATTAACTTACTGGATAACAGTTCATAATGGTTGGGTGCATTACGGACGACATCTTTCGCGACGTCTCTTCGTACCATTAACCGTAGACAACACAGATCTATACAAATTTATTCTTTGACTACGGCAAAATTCCTTCATTGTCCCAGCTGAAAGGGGATCCCTTTGCCTGTTTTTTTTCGCCGAGCTGGTTTATACAACACATTTTTATGAGGGGAAGGTGAGAGCGGAAGAAGAAGGCGATAATTGATACTGAGGGGAAACTATGTCACCATTGATGTAGGTCTGTACGTTTTACTCGATTTCTTGATTCACCGATGGATGTAGTGATTATTTAGTTACATGTTCCTCATTCTATTAACAGAAATCCACTGTCAAAGGTAAAACGTTTTCATTATAAGACACAAGGAAAAGACTGAACAATTGTAAACCCCCAAATGGCACACATCTTGAGCAAATGTTTGACTGCCTTCTACTTTGTTATAAAAAACGGGGGGGGCAAATTTGCTGGTAGAATTTGTTTACGGCACGACAACACTTTGGCACTTATAGGTGATGAAGCCTCTGTCATAAAAATTCATCTGATTCAAGAGCAAGACAAATTTCAGGCTTATTCTCACTTGAAGTTGCAAATGAGCCTCACCCTGCCGATCCCAACTGACATGCAAACTCACTTTGTGCGTCAAGAAAGACAGCGTGCATCTACATTTGATTTGAAGACAATTTGCGAGAGTACTGCCATTGCACTCTTAGGACTTTTGTGGGGGTGTAGGGTTAATTCCCAGAACCTATCACTAATTGCTTTGAGTGAGGCTTGGGGCAACAGCGAGAACAGCTCTCCCATGTCTGAAAGGCTCTGAATCGAATAGAAAAAAAAAGTTCAAGAGCCGGATGCCTGTAACAGTTTCGCCCCCTGCTCAGCTGCATCTTAGTGAGATCCGTGGAAAATTTAACAGCAGTGGCAGATCCAGAAATCATTCAAAGGGTGCAGGGGTACCCAGTTTTTATAAAAGGGGGGGGGGCCTAACATGAAAGGGTAACCAGCACACACAAACGGGCATATGATTTCTCATTATTGCTGAAACTTCTGCCTTTTAATGGCAAATAGGAAAAACAGAGAACAAATATCGCCCTCAAAATTACAACAAAGGAGACGCCCCCTCCCTTTGAAGTCCACTACTTAATGGTTTATACTTCATAGCTTTGATGGTCGGTGTCAAGCTGGCCATGTCAAGGGTGGTAGTGAGACCTACTTGTGTGACCCTATTCAACCCACTTACAACATGGACAGGTGCCTCTTTAAAAGCTGCCAGTGTTAAAATCGATGGATTGCTTTCAATTTCGACAAAGACGGTTCTTCGAGGTCTAGCCGTAGGGGGAGGGAGATGCAGTACGGTACAGTTCCTCGTTCGGATCGTTGCCTTACCTAATGTGCATCTGCTTGGACCACTTGAGTGCGGCTCCTGTCGCAACTTGGGGATGGGTGAATGTACAGCCGACACGAGTGCAGCTTCGTCCAAAGAGACACATCTGAGTGTTGGGGGAGAAAAAGAGGAAAACCCCGGAGGGTGAGATATGAGATGGAGTGAAGTGGTGATCAACCAAGTGCCTGGCCAGAGCAGAACCACGGGCAGATTTTGCTGAACGTCAGCTCGAGACATGTCTTGAGGGCCTTGTTTTATACCAAGACTGGTGTCAGGAGCAATTAGCGGAAAGTGCCCTGAGTCGCCTAAAAAAACCCCAGCTTAACACGTCTCGACTTAAATCAGTGGTCGACTAATTTCATCTCACGCCTGTTTTTGTTTAAAGTCTGTCAAAGAGGAAGCTTTAAAGCATTAAAATATACACTGATTAAAAAACCAATCAGATATTGGAAATTAAAAACATTAATACACATTACAACTTAAGCAGAACACAGCGAACGCTTCGTTGAAAAGTTGGGCTTTAAGGTTTGCCTTAAAATCACTCCGACAAAAGGTTTGTTGTTATCATCATTTGTAGTTCACGGCTTAAGAAGTGTAAGCCCACCCCACTCATCAAGTCAACTGAAAAGTTGACATTTTTGGCTGGTTTCTGGTCAATGCGGGCATTGCCGTAGACCTGCGAGTCAGCAAAATAAAAAAAGTTTCTATTTGGTATAAAAACTATGTCCAAAAGGTGCCAAAATTGTTTAATCAACTAGAATCCTGCTACTGTGTAATTGTAACGTGTTTTTGATGGGGTACTCTTGAGAAATATATACAGTAAAGGAGTCCCCCTAGTTCCCCATACATTTAGTCAGGCACTCTTTTTCAGATGACGTCATTTCTGTATTGTACATTTACATCTGGGAACCAGACAAACGAGGTGGTCTTATGTCCTGTGTACATGTTCAAGCTGAAAATGCTTTTAAACAGTAAAAAATGCAGGGGCCAGTCTATTTTAGCGTTACATGCGCATGCAGTTGCGATGGACATCACACTTTATACCTAGATTATTTCCAGAAAAAAAAAGTGAGGGTAAAAAGAAAAATTTTGTCGCCACATCCTTTTTAGAGCCGGTTACATTCACTTAATATAAATGTAGCTTTGTTCTCACTGAATTACCCGTTTGTCCCTGTTTCACATCGAGCTCCTTATGACTTAATGTAACAGGCTGATGTGGTCGTAGGAACCAATCAAACAGCACTGTGCCGTACAACATCCACGAATGCATTAAACTACCTCCTGTGAAGAATGGTTCCCTGGTTCCCCACTGATACACTCAAATACACATCTTTTTCTTTTTTTGGTGATATAGCATTGTGGACATGGCCCTTTCTTCTGTTTCATTATTACGGCAGACTTCTCGATCAGAACAGTGAAAAACATGATTGGGTGCTGTGTGAGTAAAACCAGCTTTGGTAGTGGGGAAGAAATTGAGATGTCCTCCGCATAACGTGGCCACTTGAGCCAGTAAATGCACAGTGGTGTAACTGACCGGAAGTTAGTGGTAAGTTTCCACGAGGGCACAGAGAAAAATATCGAGTGAGAACATGACCTAAGTCTACAGTTAAATTCCAAGTCGTGTTTTATGACACAACCACACCTAATCCATAAAATCGTGATCTGTTTCATAAGACCGTATCTGTTTGGTAAGCCCGTGCGTCTTATAACAAAATGACACAATTTACGGTGCACACACTTGCAGCTTTTTTTCATCAAATGCAATGCGGGAAGCAGTCATAAGATGTGTCTTAGTTGGGAATGATCTTGCATAAGGAAGTCCTCTCAAAACCCCAGCAACAATGTTAGATCATGAAAGCCCAGGCACCTTTCAACAAACTATACAGAACTGTTAACAAGGGGGGAGGGGCATAATAAATCTCTCCATCTCCCCTCCTCACCCCTGCAGACACTGTGAAAGTGCCTCAGAGAGCCTGGACCCAAGGCAGATTTAGACAGATCAATATCGTAAAAACATTTTACTTACAGTCCAACCTACAGAGTCCACTGTCATTACTTTTTTTAAAGGCAGCATGGCTGTCTAGTCAATGCTGAGAACTGCTAGTGAGACATACGCACCAGACTAGGGGTAAACAAGCACTACCCTGAATTTCAATCAAATGAGTCAACATTTACTCACTCCGGAATTTTCTTAAATGGCTTTGTCAATCCAATCTCTCCCCAACCCCCCCCCCACTTATATACAATGTATACATAGAGTTTTTTCCTCAGGCACCAACGATCTACAACAATCATTCAGAATTGGGCTCTAGCTCTCGGTCCTCAAATGGTAAATGTTTACAAATGGCTGCTATAACCCAGGGAATCGGCAAGAACAAAATTGTACTTGGCACTGCACTGAAAACAATTTAATTGCAAACATACATGTAGGCATTTAACTAAAAAAATGTGGGTGACTGTTTAGATTTAGCCAGCTAGAACCTGATCTGAAACATTTTTGAAGAAAAAAATCCAGACTGAAACTTAATTGTTTCTTTCCACTCGTGGGATTCGATGTCACTCATTTGGCAGGTGGAGGAGCCTGAGGGGGGGGGCAGTTCACTCCTCTCATTACATACCATAGATTGGAGTTCAGGCATTACATGATGCAGGATCAGGTTCCATAGGCGAGAGTTTTGTCAATATTCAATGCATAAGTGGTGTCATTCAACATACACACATGATTAAACTACAAAGTAAGACTGGGGAAGGGGTGCCAACATGTAGAAATAACCATAGTAAATATCACTGTAAAACTGAACTGAATGAATTTGCTGATTGAAATTCATTCATAAAAACAACTGTGCATTTTTCAAACGTCCAAGAGGGCGTAAACTGTATATTCTCTGAGCTTCAACTTTCAAGCCTCATGTACACCTCATGCAGTAACAGTAGTCAATATCTACGGAACAAATTTCCCCAATAGATCTTGAAGGACTCATGTGCTGCCATTGCTATGAAAATCTTATGAAAAAGTTTTGCTACACCAGTAACATTCATCGATACAGGAGACATCTACTTTCATTTTGTGCTCCTGAAGTAGGTAACTATAAATAGACCACTTCAATAGAATTCTTTTGTTGGGGTACACAGGAAGGGTTTGGCTAGGTTCCAGGACCGGGTTAAGTTGTCACAAAATGTACACTTTTCCAGACAGCGTGTTTTTGTATGCTGAAAATGAGTTGTGTTTTTGGAAGCATTGCGGCAGGAAGCCGGTCTTGGGAGAATTTAAAAGAAACAAATTGAATTTCGGAGTTCAAAGCCTTTGAGTCAGCTGCGTCCCTTTTTTCTAGCATTTTGCTAATTGGAGGACAAGGACTCAAATAGGTTTACATGTACGCTACAAGTAGGATGTCATCCTTCTTCCTTTTTACGAAAATAGTTATTCATGGGGGGGAAGCAGGGAAGGGCCGACTCCAAACCCCTCCTTCCTTCAGATCCACAACTGGCTTTGCATCAATATGAAATGGAACACTTCCATGCACATCAGCATGCCTGGTGGTTTTTGGTGGAGTGGAGCCTACATGTACATGAGCTCAGTGGATTTCTTTTGGAAGAAAACCTCTTATATAAGTATGGAACTTCATTTCCTACTGCAGTGAAGGATGTTATTTGGAAAAGACTTATGTTAAAAATCCCTTTTTTTGCCCTGTGCACATAATTGAAAGTCCACAGAACTAATTTTCCAAACAATTTCATCATTGGAGTCAACGGGTCATGCCACATACCTTGGGGTGGAAGAAGGGGCACTGTCCATTTGTACAGTTGGGGTGAAATTTGCACAATCTGGATGCCTTAGAGGGCGCATGCACTGCAAGAGAAAGAGAACGCAATCAAACTAATCAGGCAAATTCCTGAAGTTGACCATTAAATTTACTGGATTCTAACCTGGGCTCAATTTCACAGAGGCTGCTAAGCACATTACAGATGACTGTAACAAGTGCATGTAATCATGGCAGAAGCCACGCTGATCTTGGAGGACAAATTTGCTTGACTTAGTAGTATCACAATGGAAATCTCTACGTGCACACAACTGTTAGCACAACCATACCAAGCACCACCATGAAATGGAATTAGCACCATTTAGTAATTAGTAAGCATCAAGTTACTTGCTTTACAGCAATCTGGGAACCTTTCTACAGCCCTGTACTGCCAACCCAACGTTTCCAGCTCCAGATGTCCTCGCTTCTTCCATCAGCTCAAGATCCACAAGCCGGACATCCCCATAACCCCACTGCAGCATCCTGTGGAGGTCCCACCTACAGTGTCGCCAAGCACCTTGCTAAGATCCTGCACCCACTATTCCGCAACACCAAACGCCCTATCTAGAACTTGGAACAGTTTGCCACATTCGTCCAAGACCTAACCCTGCAACCCCGACGATATCATGGTCAGTTTTGATGCTTCACCAACGTCCCTACCACCGATGCCTGCAAGATCACATGAGAACACCTGGATCAAGACCCATCAATTTAAGAACAAACAGACCTCCTCCCAGCCCAGATCCAAAACCTACTCATCACCTGCACAGCATCCACCAGCTTCCAGTGGCGTGACAAGCTCTTTGAGCAAACCACCGGAACCTCTATGGGATCACCTATATCCCCGGTTCTTGCTGACATTTTCTTGGAACAATTTGAACAGACAGCCATTGCCACAGCTGATGATCTCCACCTGAGAGTTTAGCCCAGATACGTTGACGACATGTCTATCATATGGCCTCGTGGTCAAGACAAACTAGGTGATTTCCTGGAACATCTCAACAGGCTCAGTGCCAGCATACAGTTCACCATGGATCAAGAAAGAGATGGCACTACCTCCTTCTTGGATGTGGAGGTGTCCAGGCGACCCAATGGAACCCTGGAAGACCAGTACAAGCCCCCATTTCATTTTCCCAAGATCAGGAACTCGGTTGATCATGCTCGTCCCTTGGGCATACAACATGTGTGACCAGGACAGCCTGCCGGGCAAGTTACACCACACCTCCACAGCACTACAATGGAAGGATTTCAAGAGAAGTCAAGTCAAGACCCAGGCAACAACGTCCCGCCCCGACCGATGGGCCTCCTCTACCCTAGGTCAACCTCATAGGTACACTAGTTCTGTCACCCTCCTATACAATGGCAACACTTCGCATCACATACAATGCATCCTCCAGCAATAAGGCATGAGAGTATTCCACACAGCACCCAGCAAGATTAGAAACTTGATCAGTTACACAAGGACTAGCTAGACCCGGATCTTTTCAGAACCACACATACTCACAAAAGAGATAATCCACATGGTGTTTCCGCATACCCTCTAACTACATGTACTTAAGAATGACTTTTCTGCAAACTGGTAAGCAGCAACATAAAATTGGGTTCAGGACCTCAGTTTAACACATTTGTTGAAGAGGCTACACAAGATAAACCTCTTGGACATTCAATGTTTAGGTCCATCAAGCCCTCTGTGGTTTGTCTGGATATTTCTGTTATGAAGAACAACGACTGCTGAACCATGGAAAGACAGTAATGTTACACATTTTGCATGAACATGCACAGATGTATTTTTACACAAGTATTAAGTTGTTAAGCATGAACAAAAGTTACCTACATCCATGAGGATTTTGTATCTGACAAAACACATGTGAATTAGCCTGCCACGGTGAAATGCAAGCTACATGTACCTGTAAGAGGAAAAATGCCTCTTTCTATAATCCTTATCTGGCAGAGAATGTAAGAAAGGTAAAAACTTAATAGGGAAAGGTTCCATTAATAGTGTATAATCATAAAGTGTGCCTTCATCGGGAAGCAAAAGGTAGTTTTATCTGATTTCGGTTAATGCATGTACATGAACCTCAATTGCAGCCCTGTTGTCATGGATAAATGAACACCACCATTTTAGAAATAAAAACTGAAATGTCCTCCTTTTACAACAGGGACACAATCAAGCAAGTATTAATCATAAAAATGTGGTTCTTGTGTACCGGATGGGACCACCTAGGCAGTCTTCATCATTTTTCTTGTTGTACAAACTATGTGAGTGTGAAAACTCTCTCAAAACAGGGATGGGATAACAAACGCCAGGTTGAATTGATTCTAGGAGGCTCCAGATCTGCCAAATCTTTTCATTACTGGATGCAATCACGGGATTTCAAACGGAGAAAGTATTCATGGATTCTCTGGAAAAGGGGGCTGAAACTTCCACACTAAAGTTAATGGCTGTTTTCCGAATCGGTCATTGGTAATTCACTACAAACTCTGGTCTTGTCTTGACACCCTACCTTGTGTGGGAGGCAGGAGAACCGCTGGTGGACTCATGGGGACTAGGTTGCCTTGTTTCCTGGTTGCATGTGTGAAGGGACAGTTGGGCCGGCTGCACCGAGAATCATACTTGCAGTTGGGATGGATGAATAAACATTTGTCTCCAAATTTACAGTTTGGAAAGGTCCTGCGGGTGTGAGAAACGAGTGAGTTCACCATTAGTGTAAGCGTGACTCAAATTGTATAGTGCAAACATCACTTAATTCAGTGTCATAGTGAGATATTCATTATAAATTTATCCCTTTTTTGGAGTAGGTTTTAATTAATTCATTTCTTGAGTATCGGCTGCAGGCCATGCATGTACCGGTAGGCTCGTGAATATGCACACTGCGGTAACGTGTCTCCACAAAATGGCTTCAGTTAAAACCAACACAAAAACCGACACTGACTTTAACGGCCAATAAAAATGAATGGCATAACTTCCACTAGCATTGTAGGATATGCTTAAAAGGAAAATGTCATGGCTAAAAAGGAATCCAAATGCTGAAATCTAACTAGAACCACAGGAGTTCACATCAGGGAGCAATTTGCTTGCGAATGCTATTTTGAACAAATGCGATTAGGGGAGCCATTAACATTGTATTCATTTCTGGAGGGGAGGAATTACGCTTCTTGGGGGGGGAGGGTGGCAGGTACCGGTACCAGAATGACAACAAGATGGCAACATAAAGCTCACTTGCCTTGGGATTTGACAAAATGTATCATCAATCACTGTGATATTCCCATCAACCCTCAATTCCCGTAAGAACAATGTGCACGTGCAGACTGTTTTCACCTATTTCCCCAGGATGCATCTGTATTAAATAGGAGGCTAGGGGCAGTTGTGCGCCTCTGAATTTACATGTACCGCATGTTACATGTTGGATGCACGTCACGTAAGCTGAACAGCCAGTTCCTCCCAGAGGCAGACACACTTCTCCACTTTGCAGAATTGATGCAAATGGAAGCATACATGTACATACATTGCTAAAAGCTTTCTACTGTTACAAAGAAATGCTCGGTAACCAGCAGACTGGTGTCAGCACATTTGAAAAAAATGTTTTGAATGAGCAGCATGCGTGACAGAGCAACAGCCATCAATAATGGGGCTTCTTTGGGGGTAGTCGGCAATTAGTCATGTAAAAGTCCCATTAACTCCACAACCAATCAACCCATCTGTTCTCTTTCAAGCTCTCATGCTGTCTTTGTGAAGCCATACCACCAAGTCTTGCGCCTGTCACCAGGATTTCTTCCCTGGGGCAAGAGTTGCTTCATTTTGTTTCTCTGGCTATTTCTGTTCTTTTTCCCCCCTTTTTATTTTCGTTCCCAAGTGCCCCCCTGCCAACTCCCCCCCCCCAACTGCAACGACTGTACATGTACCTTCACTCCAAACTGACTGCAAGTTGTTTTTTTTATCTGAACAGGTACTGACTATCTGGAAAGTGAAATTCGCATTGCGTGTGAGTTACTTGTAGGACTTCATCTCTACAACAAGGCTTGAGAGGGAGAGCTTAAAAAAAAACGAGGAATTGAAATACAGAGAGATCTCTTTTTATATTTCAATGTGGAAGCAGGCAAAATGTTGTTGTGCCATGCTTTGTCGTATGGAGGCTTCAGAGGGTGTGCGAGTGTCTCCCGCTGTGGGCCACCCGTGTCATGCAGGCACTATTAGGCTACGAAGAGCCGTGTCGGAATCAACTGGCTCAAACCTACAGTGACATAGCTGGCTATGGGGGAGTGACAGTGGAGCTGGCCAGGGGCTTCAATAGGCGGACATGTTCTTGTAAGCTGCAGCCACAACTTTCAGATATCACCAACATCACTTAACAAATCTTGGAGTGGAATAGTGCAGAAATAAAGGGTCAAAAGTGGGAAACAAGCACAGGCCAAAATTTGGGAACTGTTTTTCTGCCCTGTAGTACCGTACCTGTAGTAGGCCTGTTTATATTCCATAGCATGAAGTTTACAAGATGGGTGTATGTAGTGTGTACTGTACATGTCACTGTGTATAAATTCTGCACGTAGCAGAGATGAAACATTTGAGGCAAAGAGAGTGGAAAGGACGTCACTGTTCACACTGCAAATTGCACTCAAAAGGATGTATAAATGTGAACGAGTACTACCACTAGCTTAATTCATGGTCCATTGGACCTTTTCTGCTTAATTTGCAAAGTATGATGATGCCTTATGTTGCAAATAGACGAGTTTTTACATGGTTTCTCTTGGAACAATGTGGGACAAGAAAATTATAGTCTGATTCTCAACATTACCAGTGGTTTGACTGGAAAGCATTATTATACAACTATACAATGATTATACAGCGTTGACTGCACCCCGTCATGCGGTCCAGGAAGCTCAAGCCCGATGTTTTCATCTGGCTCCCGAGGAAGTTAAAACGGACAGAGGAGTATATTAATTCATGGACCATCCCCTCTCCCCTGGGGGAAGATGTGCTGTCATGGGAGGACGACAACAGAGGAATGAAAGCACCAATCACCGAGGAATGAACCGAGAGGGGAAGTGGAAGCCACTGATCCACTTTCTATTAAGACCACTATGAGTACTAATCAAACTACCGGATCATTCTGACTATAAAAAAAAAGGAAAAATGGTCCACTCCTCTGAATATAGAAGCAGGGGCAAATTGATTTTGCCTGAAATCAGCCGTGACTTTATATCCGTTCTATCAGGAGGGAAGGTGGAAGATCAGTTGGGGAAGTTCTTGAGGAAGGTGATAAATTCCTGAAACCTGATTCATGAAAGGGTTTTTTTCCTACACGTAGATTGGAGATTTATGTAATTAGCAAAGTTGAGAGACAAGTTTGCTGAATTTGTGACAATCAAAGGATTTTTTTTCAATCAAAGAAAAAAGATACCAAAGAAACCCTTCTGAATAATACCGTCACCTTTAACCATTTCATTTTAATCTCCAGGACAAAAATGTAAAAAAAAACACCAACAAGAAGCAAGATCTCAACAGTATGTTCACAGCCTGAAGCAGTGACCTGGTTTAATTAATCATGCACATCTCCAGAGATCTCCGGCTCAACTGTCAGACAGAGTCTGAGTATTAATGTTTGTTATTTTTGTCACTCTCGCGAATGTGCCACATGGGTACACAGCAGCCCTGGCTAGTTATACCAGTCTTTTCCATGATGAGAAACAGCTGCCTCCAGATGGCAGATATTAATGCTGGCTGCCAAAACATCTTCTATTTAAAGACATCTTGGGCAAACAAAAACACTCTTCGACCTGTTTGATCAGAAGCATGTGTAGCCTGAGCTGCAGTTCCCAGCAAGTGGACAAGAGTTGCGCGACCCAGACTCAACACTGCGGTATATTTTGCGTTCGGGATGCAAGGGGGCTCTGAGAAAATATGGCAGGAAATTTGATAAAATGGAATTGTGTGCACAGTGGACTGATGTATTTGAATGAAAAGGTCCAAAATTCTGCAATGTACGATTGGCCTACATACGTTGTAGGATCCAATACCCTGATTTATGTCTGCTGTTACTGCAAACAAACCACAGCAAATCTTATTAGAATCCAACGGAAAACAAATAGACAGACTCACAACCAAAAAGTGAGGCGTCTTCTTAAAATTGACGTCCTGGATTGTAATGCAGGAGGCATCACCGAAAAGTGCTCCGGAAATGACCAAGTCATGCATCTGCACAAAGACGTTTTCTTTTGGTTAATTAAAGACGAGCAAACAATTTGACTGAACAGAAGCCAGTGAAATTCCCTGCGAGTTGCAAAAGCTGCAGGTTCAAATCAAATTTGCTGGTACCTAGTTACTTTCCCAGTATAACTTAACAAGTACTCCAGTTTTGACTGCAATTTGGATTAGGGACGATTACGATCATCTCTGAAGTTGAACACTATAGAATACTCCAACAAGGACCCACTTACAGTGTTTATCGGGATCATTCACCGTTCTTACTGTGGACAAGAACACTGGTCAATGCCTTTACAAAATGTACATGCCAAAATCCCATTCCTACTTTTTAGAGACAAGACAAACTCCAAATGGTAACTTATAGTGTTCCCCAAAACAGCGTTCTGCAGACTTTGCACAATCCCCTTGACCCCCAACAAGCCCCTTAACTTATGATCAGCCCTTCAAAACACAGTAGTTCACCCAGATCAAGGAACAAAATGTCTAGGTCACACATGGCTCATTCCAAGTGATACCAGCTCAGATCAAAGAGTCCAATCTTGTGAATAAAGAACTTGTGTGGTTCGGCACTTGCTGTATGAAGTTCTATTTGGTATCGCGGAGGGTCCATGCATAGCGCAGGCCACCTGGCCCCTTGAGCCCATTCACAACCTTTGTTTATAGCCCCAATTCAGATGTCTACCTGTACATGTAGCTCTCTATCATGAGCATCTTGTCACAGTCATGGTTCTGATGCAGTATTATTTGTCAATAACAGTGCCAAGTTTAAGTTTAGGCTCTTGTAGTGAGCTACGAATAATAGACCACGTTGTGTTTGATGTTGTGTTTGATGTCACGGTAGCTTGGCCCACAGGCAAACACTGTCTCAGTTCAAGGTAGAAAGTTCAAAAACACAGTCCTACTGTGTGTTTTTAGACCTGAAACAGTGTTTGCCCTGTTGGCCGAAGCTACATCAAACACAACATGGTCCATTGTGTGCCATACTGCATGTAGTGTGCGAATTGAATGTTTCCTATTTCTATAACCCTTTAAAACCAAAATGCAACAGTTTTAGCTGGTAGTACCATAGTTAGGTGTGTTGTACCCTGGGATATATTTATTGCAGAGAAGACTTGGGGAATATAGGCTGGCCTTAGCATTAAACTTCCCTGGTAGTAGTCAGGTGTGTTGTGCCCTAAGGTATTCATCTGACAGTTTGAGAGACCGTTGCAAAAATGTAATTTTCACCAAAACTGATGAAAATGGCGATGTGTCCTTGTTACAGTATGTCTGTAAGACATTGTTAAAAATTATATGCATACTGCTCTTGCCGAATAAACATGACAGACGAGTAGACGGGGCCAAATACATTCTATTTATATAAGGTGTGAATTTGTATTCACACGCACCGTACCAGTACCCCTCCCGTGCATAATCTCTGCGTAACTACGAGATCTACATGTGCGTGTACCAACAGAGATCATGTGGAA